GGTTCCTCTAGACGAGGGTATTAAGATTACGGTGAAGCATTTTGAGGAAGAAAGGGCTAGAGAAGGAGAGAAAAAGAGCCAATGAGGTATTGAAGTGTTGGCAGTATCGTTTGTGTTATAGAGATTCCGAGCAGATATTCTCACATAACTCCGCAGTTACGAGGACTTGTAATTATTTGAAAAGCTTAATCAAGAATGAAAGATACCCTTAGTCGTCTACTTAGGTAGTCATAGATTATATTTCACACTGATGACATATATCTGGCAATGCCAATGCTAAATTTTTTGTTATTCATGCTACACTGGGACCAAAGACACGTCCTACAAATCCGTAACGAAAAATTGCTCTAGATACGTTTGATATGTGCGATTGCAACTTCGGAATCTGGCTATTTTGGCCAAATCACTTCACTGCTAACTCAGCCTAGTTCGTCTTTGAATGACTACATCTGGGTGGAAGATGGGGACGCGGTGTACATCATTCGGTAGCAGAATCAGGTCAAATTCACACGACGGAATTAAACAATGAAAGTTTAAGACTGAAGATACTGAAGGTAAACGAGGGCTTTATGTATGTTGCAATCTTTGGGAAATGGGAATTCAAAATTGAACTCTACGCCAGGCATAGGTCATCTGACTTTAATTGTTGAGATTTACATATTTATATTACTCAAGTCACAAATCAGATTCTGAATTATAAATTACTAGGAAAGCTTCATAGAATTGTTGAGAGCCTGCGTATACGAAGGTAGTAAAAGAAAAGTATCTACTATAGTATCTGCGCGTACAAAAAGACCCCCTAAACCCTGACTTACGCCCTCGCTAAATCTCACCCTAACTGCTAATCGCCCTCCCCTTCTCTTTTCCAAGGCAACTCGCTCCTAAATCTTCAAACAACAAGAATCTTCCGCCATCGAATCCTCATGCAATTGAACCAGCACCACTACGAACTTCGAAAATGCACCCAGATCCTGAACGAGTGTTCTCTGCCTGTGATCTATCTGTGCCATTTGACTGTGCTGCCTCACACTTTCTCTCTCTGGATCTTTCCCGTTATTCTGCTTTCTCTAGCGCCATACCATGTCTACGGTTCTAGTTGCGCAGTTATGAATCAGAGTGTATCTTTGACAATTCTGTATATCTTGATTTGTAAGCTTTGATACATGTTTCGATGTGTTTCTAAGATTCTTTTCCTATCGCGCTCTGGACCTCTTGATTTGTATTGTTTACGAGCTTGAACGACGATACCAACGAGGATCGTCTTATTGAAGCGAAGAAGATAAGATGTGCTCAATAGAAATCAGCTAGACGAATTGAATCTTGGAGTTCGTGGACTGAATCGAGAGGGATGACTTGATGATACGATGGTCAATTGACTCTGAGAGACTGAGGATGCAGCGGAAAGATAGCGTTAGACAAATTATACTGCTTGAAGCACCGATATAGACATTGATCAAAACATTGGCTATCCATGGGAACACGTAAAAAACACCGATAACTCAACCACGAAATCAATAACATCTGCCATTTACAAGATAAACTTCTTCCAGCCCGGGAAAAGGCAAGATTTTTGGAAGTACTTATCGGCTGTTGATTCTCATTGTTCTAACCCCAAGAAGTGCTGGAGTGGATAAGATTGATGTCCCGGGGAAATGCTTCCCTGGCTTTCTCCCTCTGAAAGCTGTCGAGATGTACTGGCACAATATTCGAATATGAGAGTCTCAACGTGTGTCATTAATATTCAAACATTGGGAAGATCACTACTCTTTTTTAACCTGAAACCCAGAGAATGGACAAGAAGCTGTGGCTTCCTTTATTTTCTCATCCTCGGTAGGTATCTTTTCGCCACTCCCCTCGCCTTCAGCATCCAACTTCTCCTCTCCATCAATGACCTTTTTCCCCTTCAACCAGCCTTCCCTCTCCACCATCACCTCCTCCATCTCCCCGGCAAACTCATCACCATCTCTCACATACCATTTTGCAAAAAGATCATTTTGGATCCATAACACTTTCCCAATCGCTTTCACAATCGCTATCTTTTTCTCCATTCTCAATTTCGGGTGCGAGAGAACCGCCTCAAAGATGATATCTTGCACAAACCCCAAACAAACTCCTATGTGTACATATTCGACATGTAGAGGATGTTTTCGACCACGCCCGACGTGCATCATCCCGACTTTGTCGAGGTATTCCCAGAATTCCATTTGGCTTGGATCTGAACAGAGTTTATGGAGATAGCCTCTCAGAAACTAGAGAGCATGTCAGCCTAATCGACAAACTGTATGATGACACAGGTCCACAAACCATCTTCCTGTGTAAGATTTGAGGACTATTCTCATCCGGCAGTTCGTCTAGCGGACCCTCATAACTTGTGCTACGAGTTGTGAAAGCACGTGATGTGATATCATACTGTAGAAGTTTTCTGTATACGATATTCACGACGGCTGGTATGAGTTGTTTGATGTATTTTGAGCCATAAATGAGGGCTTCTATGTCTCCTATTTCAAAAGTTTGAGCAGATTTCAAGAGGAATGGAGTGTTGTGTACTCACGTGAACTGAAGTCAAGAAAAGAGTGTAGATAATGAATTCGTGTTTCTAGATCCGTGTAAAGCTCCTTTCGATCAATGTGTAGTCTCGATCTTGAAGCCATAATTATGTTTCGTATTATGCGCGTAGACGTGAAATTAAGGAGCAGTGATGAACATATATGAGACTAGATAGTTTGAGAATTACAGACATCTTTGGGTACAAATGGAGTTCATATACGCTCAAAACTTATCACGTAGGATGATAAAGATCAGCCCATCGGAGCATTATGATTTCAAAACAATTGAAGACTTGAGTATTGACCATTATGATGGGAGTCAATTATCTCGCTATGTTGCCAGAGTGGTTCGTTTTTTTGCTTTGGATCAGATCATGTTGGGGTGATGTGATCTTTGGGTATAAATTCACGTGATACAACCTTACACAACCAGCCAATTGCAATGGTTCATTACCCACTCACCTCAGTCCATCCGCTTTCATTAATCGCATCTTCTTTCTCTCTTTCAAATATGGGTTCTCTATTTTGTCAATTTGGCGATGTCGTGGATATCGATTGGATGGTAAGGTTATGAGCTCAATGTTGTTAACGATAAAGTCACGTTGATCCAGAGCTTTTGGCAAGACAAGATGACACTCAGAAATGAAACGTACGAGGGTTTAAAGTCCAACTTCCACCATTCGATACCTTATCTCAGATACGATCTCCTCTCATCAGAACCCGGACCGTGACCTTGGGAGGATTAATGTCTTGGGCTTCGTATTCAGAACCTCATGGGGACCTCCCGCTCCCTGGAACTTTGCGCAGCTCGCAATATAATCATGCATACTTCGAGATGCTGTACCTCATAATACAATAAATGAACACAGCCTGGGTAGCGTTGCTTACGTATCTACTGTAAGCACAAAATCAACAGAGTACATTGCATTACCAAACTATCGGTATACTTCGGCGAACACAGCGCTTCTACATTCGATGATATCCAATGAGAGTCGCCCTTGCATTTTGAAAATCATGGGAGTGAAACGCGGAGTAAGAAATAGTTGCTGTGCTTCTGTGCTGGGTTGCGGTTATATATGTAACTAGAGGGGTAGGTGTCTCGGGTATGCCTTTTTTATGTCTCGGTTAGGTAGTCATAAAGATGCGCGGAGCATGATGGATTAAGGTTACATTGGTAAGATTGAGTGCTGTGCTCATTCTGGTGAGGGGAAGATGCGTCTACTCTATGAATTGATTTCGTCTGTATTTTATATCGGCTTTCGTTAGTTTGTATACTCGTATATCTAGAAGTGGAACGTGTGCTTGTAAATGTGAGGCATGCATGGAGTGGCTTTCCATATTTCCATACGAACGTACATCAGAGGCTGAGGTATATTGTGCCACATTACCTACCGAGGAACATCTAAAAAAAGGGGGACTGAGCCAATATTAATTCTCGGGAAAAATCAACAGCCAATCATTTTCTTGTGCATTAAGCGCCATGGTTACTCTATGTAGACTAGCTGTACCTGAATCTGGCGATTATTTCCACTCCGCCATTTTTCTCTGAGCGCGGGGATCTCTTCCGATTGAACATGCATGCTCCAATCGACTGAGGATTGATCAATTTTCGGGCTGTGCTTCAACGGCAGATATCCAAAATCAATGGCACGAAGCTATACCCTTGATCACGTCTATACATCTATACTGTTTTCCTCCAGATATCCATCGGCAACTGTGTGAACGTCAGATGAATTTGTATTACGGCACTGCATATGCAGGGTACCCAAGTACCACCCATGTGAGAGTATGTAGAGTCGCATCGAGGAAAGAACTCTCAACATGGGATATGAAAGAGTAAGTAGTGGCACAAAGCTGTGCTGTGCCACGCAAACGACCTACCGAGAGACCTTTTCACCCAGGTATATATTAGATATTGGTCTCATGAGCCGTAACCATAGCCTTACTCGACCTTGAATTTTTCCTCATTTTTATTTACATATCCATATCCATTTACAATTAGAAAATTCTTACATTATCTTGCTGAATTTTGTTGTTGGTTCAAGGTTTGGTCTTCGGTCCATAGGGGCGTCTAACTCGATATATGCATTCATATATGATTTATATTTTACATTTGAACCATACCTACAGCGCATGCTTTGGTTATTTGAGATTCACTTGGGAGGAGATTGAAAGAACAGGAAAAGAAACACTGCGTGATTTGATCAACCAAGGTCGGTTAGTACATTATTTCTCAATTCACCTTTCTATTCATTCAATTATATCATCAGTCATTTCGACTCAATTCAACACACGAATATCTTGGAAAAGTCATCCATGTAGTCACATATTTATCAACAACTTTGAAAATCTTCAATTTGTCTTTTGATCATCTTCGAAATCCTGCTCAAGACTTGAATTTAAATTCGTTGTTTGATTTCTTATCTCAATTACCTTCTCCATCAAGTCTTCAAGATGTATCTCAATGTAGATGCTCAAAGCTTCAATCAATCCCTTTTCATACGAGAGTCTCGAGAATGTGCACAAGGACAACTGTGGTATGTTTGCAACGCAAATAATTTCAAGGGTTGTTGTTCTGTAGATGCATGTTCAGTATCAGAATGTCCAGATTCAAATACCGCTGCAGTTGGCGCATCGAGTACTTCAACCAATTCTTCTACCTCTTCTTCTGAATCTACATCTACATCTATGTCTCCTACTTCTGCTTCTTCTTCTGCTACATCAACCGCATCATCTCAAACTACACAATCCTCACAATCAATCCTACAGACAACACCGCAAACAATCCCGCAGACACTCTCACCAAGTACCATCCTCCTAACTACAACTGTCAGCCATCCAGTCAGTGCACCTACACAAAACCTATCCGAATCCCCCACCACAGTCGCACAAACAACTCCTCCCACCCCGCCATCAAATTCAACACCAATCATAGCTGGAGCAGTCGTTGGTAGTATCGCTTTGATTTGTTTCGCAATGGCTGCATTCTGCTGTTTCCGTTTTCGCCAAAAGAAAAAGCAGGATAGAGAAAGGATGTTCGCTGAACCCGAAAGTCCAGATCCAGAGACAATTCAGTTTTATAGCACGACAGGAAAGACGTTACAAACGCCTAGTAGCACGAGCACGAGGAGTCCTGGATTTTCTGGATTGGGATTGGGGGATGTCTTCGCACCATTTGGTGGAAGTGAGTTATCCAGTTTTATTTGTCGCATTTTCTCTTACGATGCCTCGTTGGTGGTGATATGAATACTAACCATCTTTTTCCAAAATAGGAGCTCGAACCAATAGTACTCCTCCACCTCCAAAGTCACCACCTGGTGGGCCAGCAATGAGCGAATCCCAAGTCTCCGCCCCAAGCCATTCAATTCCAACATTTCATCCCTCGCTCATTCCCAAATCCCAAGAAGATGACGAAAATGAAAGGCCACTCTCCCATGATCCTGAAAAATCATCCCTAGTACCCCCTCCCGAATCTTCGCATCCAGCTTTCCATCCACTTCCGAGAATGCCCAGTCCGCGACCTGCATATCGATCCGGTATGGGTATTACGATGAGTGAGTTAGACGGAAGGGAAATCGGAAGAAGAAGCGTTTCTGTCGGAGGAAGTGAGAGAATGAGTGGAAGTGGAAGTGAGGGTGCTGTTAGTGCGATGAGTACGCCCTCACATAGTATGATTCTGGGTACATCGACAAATCTTTCTCAAAGACAGGCACAAGGATATTGGCATCCAAATGGGCCTTCTCATTTACCCTTATCTCTGTCCGGTCGACCTATACAATCTCACCGCCGCGGAAACTCCGCAAATTCATCAAATTCCCCTTCGATCAATCCAAACCCAAATATGAATGAAGGACCAGCATCTCAATACGCACAGAACCAATACTCAAGCCAAAAAGCGCAACACCGATATACCCAACAGCTAGCTTCAGCGCGCTATGGGAAAGGTATGAATGCAAGCACAAATGAACACCAAAATCCATATCAAATGTATCGAGATAGTAGGGAGCATCAGCAGAATATGGGATATCAACATGCGTTGGTTAGGGAGCAGGAAGGACGTGCGAGAGCCCTTTCGGAGAGCCAAGGACAAGGATACGGCCAAACTCAAGGACAAAGAAACATACAAAAAGGAAAGGGCCGAGAAAGGATGAATTCGACAAGCCAAGAAGTACATGCAGAGGAAAATGACGGCAAGGAATTAAGGAGAGAAAGCAGCACGCACAGTATACCCATCGGACTCGGATTGGATGCGCGACCCGCTCCCAGAGAACCAGAACGAGACACAAATTCACAAAATGAAAGTGCACAAATGCAAGTCCACGCGAATTTGTACGGAAGACACAAAAATCCCCCTCAACCTCTTTCACATCAAGACTTCCAACCCCAGCAATCCAAGGCAACCAAGCAGACTTATCAAACTCATCGTGCAAACACCGACTCGGTATCTAGCATGGGATCTCCCAGCTCGACGTCTGCAAATGTTGGGGCATGGAATCCAGAGCCTGTGTATACACATCCAGGATTTGATTTTGAATGTAAAGTTGTGGCGCCTACGCCTCCTCCTCAGATGATGGAAACATCGGGAGGAGTGAAGAAAAAACGAAATCATGTACTGAGTTGGTCTGAGTATGATGCTGGTGGAGAATTATCCATTTCGCCTGTTTTGGATGGGAAGGGAAAGGGGAAGGAGATTGTTGGGTGATGAGAAGGATCAAGGAATCATATGAACATAATGGACGAAGCATCGAAGCCGAAAAAAGGAACCGAGGATGGTTTGAGTGATGGATAGGGGTGATGCGGGGGAGTTTATGTTTACATTTGAAACATGCATGAGAGCGGCGTTCGGATTTGAGCATTTATTACATACACTGGAACGATCACTAAGAGAATACCGTAACATATCATATGGCACGGTACAACAAGTTTGGAGAGGAGGAACGGGGGGGAAACATATCACAGCACATTGTACATACCTCAGCCATGCGCGGGAAATCAAATGGAAGAGAATTAGCCGAGTGCAAGCAAGAAAGAAAGAAAGAAGAGAATGTGAGCACGCTCAAGACTCAGAGTGAAATGGAAAGTGGAGAATAACATGGACATGAAGGAGTGTTGAGTTAATACCATAGTACGACGTATGAATGAGTGCCAAGTCGTGGGACATAGCGGTGGATTTCAAATGTAGATAATGAATATGATAATGAATAAACTGAAAAATGATACACCGAGGCGTTCTGATATGCGTGAGTGGAATCTTCTTGTGACGATGTCGAGTGATGGATAGATGAAGTAGGTAAGTAGGTTAGATTTTGTGTATTGATTAGGGAAACTCTGAGGCTAGAGAGATGAGGAGGTTCAGAGCACTCGAGGGTTTGAATTGAGAGAGGAAGTTTCAAGGGTTGATGAAGAGAGAGATGAAGAGGGGTAGGGTGAGATGAAAGGTATCGGGTGTTAGAATCAGGAGCGAAATGATGTAATGATAAGCGAAACTTGGTCATAATGATACCATACATGAACGAAATTAGTGATTTTATGCAGTAGAATCCTTTGGGTATGAAATAATATCATGTTTGAAGGAATTTTCATCTATTTCCTTATTTAGTATTCTGATATATATTCGTAGAATCTATCATTATCATGTTCTTGTCGATGCATCTATAAATACTCATTACAGCTAACCAAGGAAGAAATACACTGGATCAATACTCAAATACTACTGTGTTTAGGTAAAGATTCTTATGAAACTCATGTATTTCTTGGATAATATCTACCTAGTTCTCATAGTCTAGCAGCAAAAGTCTATTTGGATATAATCGTTTACCTTGAAAATCCATAAATGATTAATAGAGTGTCTAATCCGAGGTTTAGTTGTAGTTTTCAATACTAAAGAATCATAGCTAATCTCATTGATCACAGATTGTCTTTAAATTCGCAGCATTCGTAGTCTAGAGCCGGCATATTGTCACATTCCTCCCAACGTGTCTGGTCGCTGATGTGTAGGCAGATAAAATGATGGTTGTAGAGGTGGCACATAGCAAAGAATGTTAAGGGTAAGTTTTGAGCGGTAAGTGGAAGCTAATCGGAAACGATCAGTTTAACGAAGGCGTCTTAGAAGTATTTGACGATGTTGCACAATCAGAGATATTGTTTGAAGAAAAGAACCTCATTTCAGAAAGCTGATGCATAATGCATGCTATTCTTAATATTCACTAGAATCTCTACATGCGCTTCAAGAATTCCAGATGAACGATGATCATTTTTCTTGAGCTCGTCACATATGCAAAACTACTTCGAGTCTCTTGAAAAGAATACCGATACTATGCTCAATGTTTAGTCTAGTGAGTGCCATGCAGCTAGTTATAAATCTCGCTTAGCATAGGTAGTTATTTCACTTGATTATTCATCTTGATGCCATGAGTGTTCATGTGCAAGCGCTCGAGATTCATCTAAAGGCACAAAAAGTTGTACACTAACACATCCGTTACAGTTTTTAAGCTTCAATTTGTAATTATATTTAAATTCAAACAATTGGCTAGGTTCCTCGTTGGACTTGAGCCCCTGATTACTATGCCCAACTAAGCGACAATGCTTCTATTTCAGATCCTACTCTCGGGCCCTAAGAACTTCTGAGTAGCAGTTGTATTCCATTTTTATGAATAATAATTCACAAGCTTCTATGCCTGACTTTTATTTCTTCGAAGTTTTTGAAATACTTTCGATACACGCCAATTGCCGACTTCAAAGTTTACACCTATTCACAAGACTGATTGTTTCTATGAATATTCCAGTCTTGACAGCCTGTCGAGTCACTACGAACCTATTGATACCCCAGAATTAAGCTTTCATTTCACATCATACACTAGAGCAATCTCTATTGCAATGCATTCCGATGGTACTTCTCGGAACTTTCTGTTGATCTTCTTCTACTACGTAGCCACTGCCGTCTCTGACATGATGCAGAAATAGGAGCAGATTCATGAATATTTTGACGATTTGATTACCGAAAGGATCGCGTTCTTGGATCCATTGAAGCACGATAATCTTCTGGTAGACGACGAGACATTTTCCAGATCCAAGCGGTATTTTTGGGCAACATCGACACTTAAGGAATTGGATGCCGTGATTCCAGAGAACATACAACATATTACTGAATTGATTAATCAGAGAGAACTCACCCCAGTTGCAGGAGATGAGGTGGGATTTGTTGAAGCCTCTCGCAAGCGAATGCGACAATTTTTCGAACAATTGAAAGAGATAGCAGAAAGATTACGCGACAAGCGACAGGAAGCTCTCGATTTGAGAGATGGCGTAAGTGCGATGTCCTGTTACCATGCTTTTTATTAGACCAGTTCTTTTAATTTCTAGCTTTTCAATGTCAGTGCTGTTGTGGAAAGTCGTGCTGCAACTAGATTGGGAGAAAATGCCAAGCTATTGACTTTCGTGAGTATATTCTTCCTGCCACTTCGTTTTGTATGGTAAGCCCAATCGAGGTCCAAGTGTTAAAGTACCCAAATATCGAATCACCTCAGTTCAAGGCCTTCAGCTCACGCTCTCTCGTCATGGAAATAAGAGTAATGAAAAGATTCATTCATATTTTATCATCTCCTGATCTCCACTATCAGCTTGTCCCTTCATCAAGGGCCTGAAAGCCAGAAAAGTGTTAATACACTGGGTACATATCTGAGTGTATCCAATACATTTTCTCATGCCCCTCGAATAATCGCATCCACCTTCATGCCCGCAATTCCCATGCTCCCTTTCATGCCCCTTTTCATTATATCCTTCACTGCCCATGCCTCATTTTCTCCGAACTACAACTAAACCCACAAAAAGAAAACGCCGCAACAATGCTCTTTTCTGCACAGATCGTTCTATGAAAGCAACGGTAATCCATTCCCAACGCCCATCCATTTTATCTGCATCTGTTTTCTCCAAACGTTTCCCTTCATGACTGCCTACTATTGTGGTAGGTATCTTTTTGTTGTCTTCAACGAACCAATCTCGATCAGATCCACGCTGGAGCTCTTCTGCGGCTTCTGCTACTCAAGTATATATCGAATTCAAGTGAGTCTCTAGTGACCAAAACCAAATCCAAAGGACATCTTAATTCGTAAATCCCATCAACTTTGTGATTTCATCCAATAACTCTGTCAAATCATCATCGCTGATTTTATCTTGTAAACTGGGTATCAGAGTCTTCGCTTCATCGGCCGTGTCGCAACACAATGAGCCTTTACATCTCATGTTAGCATTGCTTCTCCCAATGATACCCTCGTTATCCATCTTCCCCAAACTGCCCTCTTCATTTCTCCCTATCTCCCCTTTCAACCCTGAAAAATTCCAAACATAACAAAAAAAAATCACAAATCACCTACCCAGCTGCGCCCTCTCGAATTTCGCCAATTCTCCCCTACTTCCCAACAATCTCTCTACAGCCTCCACATTTTCCTTTCTCTTGAATCTCGCAAAGTGATCCAGGTATTCTTGCGTCTTACTCAAGATCTCAGTCTCATTAACATTCTTGCGATCACCACGACGCTTTGCGACAAGCGCGTTGATGACGAGTGCGGCTTCAGAATGAGTAAGTGCGTCTACATCTTGGAATTCTCCGAGCTTCAGAACGGTGGATGCTTCTTCGTCGCCTGCTGGGGGAGCGCGAGAGCGAGATGTGGGGGCTGGTGTTGCCATTGTTTCAAAGAGAGAGGTAGGTTCGAGAAAGGTTGAAGACTGTTGTTTGTGGGGGGTCGGGATTCGATAACTTGGACTGTTCTTCTGACTGATTGTGTTGTCTCGAGTTTAACTATGTAATTAAAGAAAACAATCCTTTCCTTGAAATGCGCGTCCTACTTGTCCAAATCAACTTTGTGCAAAGACTCGACGTGTTTTGCTGTAAAAGTGATTTTGTTGACTTGAAAGGAAGAAAGAAACTTAAGTCGCGGCCGATCTATCAATAAACATGTGCTGGTCGGCAAATTCTCGAAATCTGGGGAAGGCTGCTTACTTAGCCGTTTTTGGACGAGGCTACAGACAACAGTATATTGATGCATCTTGAACTTTATATTGTGGACGTTTGATGAATGCGCCGAGTTTCATATTCAATTTTTGACTCTTGAGTTGTGTGGAAAAATTAAAAGGCCGATCACGAATGCGACGTTTCCGCTGAATAATTGATTTCTACTACGGATAAATCTCTCAACTTCCTCCCTATCAATCGGTCTTAAGAGTGCATCGAATATCAAAATGCAAGTTCTACTCCCAACTTTTCAGCGAGGTCTCAGAATCGCAATTCTAATAGCTAATTCGTAGGGTCGTCTTTGCCCTCACAATAATAAATAAAGCTGGTGGACTTATCTACCAGAAAGACTTCGCAGATGGATTGAACAAATTATCTATAAATGACTATCTAGTGCTTGCTGGAACATTTCACGGGTACATGACTTCTCCCTTCCCCTTATATTTTTGCTTCCTAATTAGATCCATCTCGAACTTCTTCTTACAATCGTCACTAACAACTCCCCAGAGTCCACGCTATTTCCACTCGACTAAACCCCATCCCATCCTCTCACCTCGCGTCAACAGGTGCCTCCTCTCTTCCTTCAACATCCCACTCCAAAACGCTCTCTACGCTCTCCTCACTCTCCTCCACTCCCACATCTGATGACCGACCAGATCCACCCTCCGGCATCGAAGTGCTCGAAACGACTTTGTTCCGACTCCAATGTTTCCAGACTCTCACTGGCACGAAGTTTCTCCTATTTACTGAACCTGGCATGCCAAATGTTGATAGTATATTGAGGAAGATATATGAACTTTATGCGGATTTTGTGATGAAGAACCCGTTTTATCAGTTAGAGATGCCGATTAGGTGTGAGAGGTTTGAGAGAGGCGTGGAAAGGTGGGTCAGGGGGGTTAACATGAGGTAATTTGGAAGGGGGTTATGGGCAGATGGATCGATGGATCCACGTGGAGGGCCAACAGACTTGGGGAAAAGCGAGGTGCGATCGTGGGCTCAGAGGTTGTATTCCCACCGATCAAAGAAGCGGGGAATGTCTCTGGATCTGATACTGGATACAGGAGTACCTGATCAGATCTCTCACATTAGAGCTAAGAAGGCGAAGGGAAATGTGGACATAATTTCGGGTATAGAAGGAACTTGTTGGGGACTTGAGTATTATATTGAGGATACGTGCCGATATTTCACAGGCCAAACGTCAAAGGAGTCAAGGAGTATACAAACTAGAAGTAATTTGTTGACAAAAGAGCCAAATACCATTGTATATGATATCTATTGGTACATACCAAACGCCAGTTTGCCATGCAGCCCCAACCATTCATTCAATTAGCAATCCATCCATTCATTTCCCCGCCCTGTACTTCAACCCCTCATCTAAGCCGTATCCATTTTATCATCGTCTTTCTTGTCCCCACTCCCACTAGCTTCTCCGTCCTTATTCAACAGAGGTGCGGATGCCTCATCCTCTTCCTTGATCTCTCCTAATGCAGATTGCTCCGCTGCTTCCTTCTCTAGTCGGTCCTTCTCGTTTTTCTCGACCCGAGCCTTCTCGTCTTCCATACTCATTCTCAATGCCAATGCCAACTCTGGGTCTACGCTTGGATCGATACCAAATTCAAATGCGCCAGTATCACCACTTGTTTCAGCACCACCCATACCAACTCCTCCTGTAGCTCCATCCCCATTTAAAATTGGTGAAGTCATTAACTGATCACTGAGAAGCTGGGGTCCTGGTGGAATGATGGCCAAATGTGATCCATCACCTCCCTTGACATTCTCATTGAAGGCTGTCAATTTTTTGGTGACATCATCATCAAGTTCTCCGAATACAACGAAATCAATTGAAACGTTATTTTTCTTCATTTTTTTAGCGAGCTTGACAAGTGATTTTTCGTCCTCTGCGATTGGAGAGCAAGTAAAAACGATTATGCGTTGACGTTGGGATTTGTTTTGTCGATGTTTGAGTGCCAACTATGAGGATATCTACATCAGCATTTACCCCAACTAGCATGCCCCGATTATAGGTAAGATTATAAAAGAGATGACAACATACACCGGCGATTTGAATACCAGTAGCTAAGTGACTAGATCCACGAATCTTAGTCTTAGTACGGTGCAATCCATCCAAGATCTTTCCATGATCAGTTGTTAAGGTAACAAGAACCTCTGGTCCTTTACCTCCCATGGACATTAAGCCAACTGAAGATTCTGGATTGGCTTGAGTGATGGTAGAAAAAATCCAAGAAACGGCATCGGATTGCGCTTCATAACGTGTTGGTGTATAATCTCCGTTTCGACTGCTTTCACTGTTATCCACCACAACCATTACTGCTTCGAGAACCATCTTGTCGGATTGGCTGCCGTTTGGCAAATGTGCGAAATCTTTGTTTTGGAAGTTGTATTTGAGTCGTGGAATCGGATATGTGGTGGAGGACGGTCGTAAGTGGTAAGTATGGATTAATCTGTTGATGGCGATAAAGAAGATGATGTTTGTTAAGGTTGCAGGTTGCTCAAGGTAGCTATGGTTTGCGCGTTAATACTAAAGTACAGCAAGCATCGCTAGCTTCGGAGCGGTCCCAATCCCTGTAACTTCTTCAGAATTGGGGGAGCAAGAAAGTTTAGCCACACACCCGTGGCGCTCAGCAAGCGACTTCGATAATGAACGGATAACAATCTACAAAGTGATGATGATGTTTATTCTCAATCAACATCACAACATCACAACACTCTACACTCCACACTCACCATACAACATCTCACATCTTCAATTGTATTCACACAACACAACAATCCAGAAGGAATCGAACCGCAATTGTTCGTACGGATAATCACAGAAATTCCTAAAGTTTCACACATATACTAGCCAACGCGAAATGGCTATCACAACAGGCCAAAAGCAAGCTCTGATGGAGAATTTGCAGTTGGAAAGTGAGGAACTCATTTCGAAAACGCGTCAGATTGTGTACTAATTTTCCATTTGAATAGTTACTGAACGTGCTAGAAAGCTCAGAGCACAATATAATGTTCAAGCTCAAGGATTAAAAACGCGTATTGAAATTCGCGTCAATCGCATACCTATTTCAATGCGCAAAAAGAACATTGGGGATTTGTTTGAGAAGCACAACAATACTGGCGCACAAGCAGCGCGTACGGAAGTGGGACCACCAGTTCCAGCAAAGAACACTCCAAAAAACACACAAAAGAAGATTCCAGTGGAGGAGTCAGAAAGTGGTCCAAGTACTCAAGTCACAGCACCATCTCGTGCTACTAAAAGGAATAGGTATGTTTTCCCCACAAAAGTATGGAACATATACTAACAATTCAAAGTGACGAGGCAAGTCTAGACAAGGAAAACAATATTGACAACCCGAAGAAACGTCAAAAAGCTGTTCCTAACCTGCCTGAACGTACCACTTCTCGTGTCAATATGGACCCAAAACAAATACTTTCACCTAGATCCGCTAACTCCCGAACTTTACCTGCCTCGCCAATAAAACCCGCACCACCCGCCAAATCTACTACAGATTCTCGTCCGCCTACAAGAGCAGGACGAAAAGTCGCACCACATACAAATCCAGCTGGAGCTGCTACTGGTCGAGCAAGATCCAACACCGCAAATTCGGGTCCAAAGACTACACGAGGAAGAAATGTCAGCAATACTAGCACAGAGACTGTTGTTAAAAAGGCACCTGCTGCAAGACTCAAGAAGGCGGCACCTGCACCTGCGCAACCTGCACAGCCAGCCAGCACTGCTGTTGGAAGAGTGTTGAGAAAAAGAGCTTGAGGCCATTTCAACACCTGCAATCTCACATTTTTGCACCAAATTGACTCATCTTTTGTTCATGAAGCACCGATCCTCAATTGAAAACACTCCTACTCTGGAGTGGGGAACTTCCTCTATCGTGTTTGATTGAGAATTTTATGGGCTGTGACCCCTTTTCAATCAACGCCATAGGGCATATAGAACCTAGATACCGTGGGTTGTGGTTCTGAACATCGAAATCTTGATTTGATGGTTGATAGGGGAATGAAAAATATGATCGTTTGAATTGGAAATGGATAATGATGGTTGTTTAATTTATCTTTAGCGATTGGAGTAATACGGGGGTTTGCATTCTATACGCTTCTCTGGGGTATGCATTGGAAGGCGAAAGATTACTTATTGCATGAGCTTCTTTGGAATAACAGGAAGCAAAGGATGATTGGCGTTTTGATTTACTGATACCGATAAAAAGTCTTTTGTTGAATGCACCTGATGTTACGTAGGGAAATTGGAATTCTCAACGTTCGTAATATATGCTCTCTTGATTGGTATCTATTTAAGATCTATGTTTTGTCTGACATAGATGATATCTTCTTGTTCCAGTCTTGAACCTCCAGAAATGCACATAGAGCCATTCTTGATTCAAGCGCAGGGAGCGAAGAGGGTTTGTAGGCTCACCCGCGTGAAACCTGTGAAAGCCACTTGAAATTCTCGATTGATGACGCTTCGCTAGTCCTCCAGGTGTCGCTACAGTGTGTGTAAACTATCTGATGATTGGAATTGAAATCGAAGAGTAGTTCTGTAAAATTCACATGAGAACGAGACCTTTGATCAGCGTGTGTATTCACACCCGCTTATGATAGGAGACAAGACAAGCCAGGACGCGGACTAAAGCGGCCGCTAGTCACAGTTCGGAAAAACTACCCCACCATTACGGTTCTTGAGCTCATCCATCTTAACTCATATCAAGTGTTTCCCCCTCCAAATACATACAAAAATCATCATTGTAACCAAGAATATTTCAAACCGAAACACACATCGATTTATAAGAAAATATGGCAGATGTAGAAGAGACCACTGCGCCTGCAGAAATTCAATCAAGAAGTGTTGTTTATTGTGGAGGTAAGTTTACAAATGAATAAACGACCCCGCTATCTTGATTTCATTAAGGCTAATCACAGAGAATAGTTTGTTCGTTACCACCTGAGGTAGGCATTACTCTTATACTTCATGGGGCTTGGGGCTTAAATTGAACAAAGGAATGAGGATACCAAGGACAAGATCATTAACAAAAAGCAATTAGTATTGCGAGTACGGCGGCACAGTAAAGAAATGTCAAGAATGGCTCGAGAAGAAATATCCCACCATGTACGAGCGATTATGGTCTGAAGGTATAGCTCACTTCCTCTCTTACTCTTCGTATGATGCATGCTAAATTTTAACTCCCCTCCTTTTAGATGCCCTCGCAGCAGCAACCTCCACCCTCAGTGTCGATGCCCAAAAACGCGCCGCCAAAGACGCCACCAAAAAAGCCGCCAAAGCAGAAGCCCTCGAAGCCAAACAAAACGAAACTCTTGCAGCCTCAAAAATCCGCATCAAGCGCGTCGAGCGCAATAAACGTAAATACGTAACCGAAGTCCAGGGGCTCGAAGCCTTTGGGCTCGAGCTCAAAAAGGTTGCGAAGGAATTCGGATCTAGGTTTGCGACGGGAAGTAGTGTGACGAAGGTAGCAAGCGGGGGACAGGAAATTACGGTCCAGGGCGATGTGAGTGAAGATGTGAGGGAGTTTTTGATGAAGAATTATAAGAATATTCCAAAGAAAAATATCGTGCTCGAGGAGCCGAAGAAGAAGAAGGCGGAACCGGTGGAGGTTTAGAAGGGGTGTTTGGTGTTGAAAGGAATGAGCGGGCGGAAGCGTGGATTCGGTATGATTGACTGGGTTAGGATTTCGAGGAATACATATACCACTATGAAATTCGTTCCATGGCATTGAAGTATGCCCAATCCTGCGTTATACTACATAATGTGAGATTTGACAGGAAGGGAGGGGTGGATTCGATATCTCTGACTAGGTATTGAAATCCCTCCAAATATAAAATTCGCCTCGCTACTGTGAAAATCAATCTCCGATATCATTGGAGGCAATGAGACATGAATATTCCAACTCGAGTGGAACAATGGCACTCCATATCAGAAAATGAATATCCATATATCTTGAAGCACAAGATACAACTGCTTGCACATGCACTAGCTTCTCGTGAATATGACAAACTCAATTTCATGTATAGCCTACCTAAACCACTACTATACCACTTGTTACCATATTCCACTCCTCGGGTTCAGCAAGGCAAAAGTCTAGAAAAACGAATGATCAAATGCATGCATGTAATATCACACAAAACTTACTCAGTATCTCAAAACTGGTCCTGAAACTAAATCATTATTCCGATTTCAGGTAACTAGTCAGTATCTAGACAATGTTTGTTACATGCCCATGCGTGAACTTACACTCATTTCTCTCATTATTTTGCACAAGTTATCTCGTCTCAACCTCACAAAACTTGTATTTAGATCAATTATTGATCCTCAACTATTTAACCTTATATTATTTTGCCTCTTATGTTCTCTTAACTTCTCTTTAGTCTTTCATTCTGTTCTGCCGTCTCGCTTATTCTCCTTTTATATTCGCAGCATTATTACAGCCCCACCATAATTCGAGCAACCCCATCGTCTCTTCAAGGAGCAGCAAAGAAAATAAAAAGTCAAATAATCCATCATATCCCATAGCAGCCCAGCCTTTCCATTCCCCCCATTGCCCCATTACTCTACCCATATTTTTCATAACGCCAATCCTGAATCAATACACGGATATCATAACCCCCCATCCATACCATATAATATCATCGAATCCTGGCCATGCCAACCCAGCTCAATTCATTTGGCCCGACTCACTATTAAATGTTGAAGTGGGCCTCTTGACTTGAAGAAAAAACCCCTAGGACCAGCCAGCCCATAGAGAACACGATGATGAAAACTCCCGCTAATTTACTCCATGCTTTGTCCAAGCCAATATTTAGGCAGCCGAAGTCCGAGAAGTTTGTTGCTATGTATGAAAGAGGCCGTGATATGAAAAAAGAAAAAAAAAATGACACCCGAAAATTGAAAGCTGCTCGAAATATCGCACGGTATTAAAGTCTGGTTCAAAAACGAACTTACTCCATGCTACTTTGGACCGACCTCCGAAGCTTTCGATTATAATTCTTCTTATCATCCACTGATCCCCAGAAGAGTTTGGAAGCTTCCACATTTACCAATGTTCGTGGATCGTATGGTGGTGAAACTTCCTCTAAAGCTTCAATGATAGACTCGATGTGATATTTTGCATCATCAAGGCGTTTGGGAGTATAGCAAGGTGTTCCATCAAGTCCAATCCGGTGATGAAACAAAGGTGTCTGAAATTTGGCTCTTGGTTGCTCTTCTGGAAATCTTGGGCTGAAGTACAGCTTAATATTGAATAATCCGCCATCTAGATTGGTCATGGGGCGACCAAAATAGGTGATATTCCATACGAAAGGATTCTTATTATCTAGTTCAATATCCAGGGTTACGGACTTGTCCCTCTTGTATGCTTCAACCACTTGTTCGAATTGACGTTGAAGATTTGCTGCCACACCACTTTCCTTCTTCTGTGATAACAATCCTTCGGTAGCCCAATGAGCCGTCTCAGCATCCAAAGTGGTACGAATGAATTTTAATCGTCTCTCTAGTTCAGTGTAGTCGAACTTTCCTTCCATAGTATTTCCACCACCCTCAAAGGGCATTCGAGCAAAAGGTTGAAGATCCTTAACCTCTTTTCTTGCTTTCTCTATAGCCGTCAAATACGAATCATAATACCACAAGAATCTACGCTTGCAAAAATCTTTGAAGGGTTCGAATGCAACGGCAGAATCATCAAGCACATCTCGATCTAAGTCGCTGTCGCTATCATCGCTTGGTGGTGTGTATGGTGGAGTTGTTCCTGCTGCGGAGATGTTCAAGTATTCCTCAAGACGTTGAATGACTGAAATTCGTAGAGTTTCATGGCGAATCTACAGTCTTATCAGTACCAGGTGCCAGTTCAAAGAGCCTTGATAATTCAAGCATACCTTTGCAGCATATTCCTTTTGGTTCTTCCTGTCATGGTCATCATTCGCCGTTTCGAAACCCGGTTCATTCTCGTAGGGATTGCTCGACATTAAACTCTGGATGGAAATTAAAATTGACTCAAGTCCTTGTGCAGATGACCACTCTTCTCCTCTTTCACCTCTCCATGTACTATCATATAATTTAGTTTCGGGGGTCCAGAGGAATTGTATGAAGGTTTTTAATTACCCTAAAATTGATCTAAAAGCAACTCAGTAAATGTTGAAAGTATCATGACATAAAGGATATCTTACAAGCAAACTTTGCCTGTCGCATAGATATTGGGATTGAAACGACATCTTCCTCCATTTGTAGTTGTCGCAATAACATTAGGTGCTTTTGTTGGATAATCTATATGGACTTTTTCAGCTTCGAATTAATGTGCAACCCTTTCGCAAAATCGTACCTTTTCCAAATCTAACACCAAACTAGAGAAATGTTAGTATTTCATATTCAGAAAAAAAGAATTTATGAATTGGATAGACCAACATCGAAGAAACCAAATTCGTAAGGTGTATCTGGTGGGCCAATTATAATTGCTTTAACGCTTCGAACGTCGATATCCCGACAAGCAACTGCGAGGGCTATAGAGTTAAATGGTTAGTAAAAAGTCAAGGAGAGAACAGTAAGCTCCTGAAGAGACTATATTGACTTACATAGATCTGGACCTCTCTGAATATCTGCCAACTCCTAAATCACCCAAAAAGTGTTGTCAGCCTTGCGCTTTCATTACCACTTTTGGCGCACATCGTGATATCATCACATGGGTTTGGCTTGATGAATTTACCTTCGCAATACGAATAACGGAGTGATTCGCCATGATTTTGGAAGAAGATTCT